TAGGTTTAGATTTACGCGTTAATCTTAAGTTTACCGCTCACAGCGCGCTGGTTTCGTCGCGCTGTGATGACGTCACGTACGCGCTTCCATTGAGCGTGCTTTAGTCTACCGCGGTTTTGTGGTGGAACCAGCTCGGACCACACCCGGCCCTTTGGCTGTTCCTGTGTGGCCTGCATGGCTTGGCTTTTATTTTGAAAGTGACTGCTATTTATTTTATTTTTTAAATTTACATATGTGTGTATATGCGTCTTATGCACCTTCATAGCTCTGTTGGTTTGGCTTCCATAACAGCTCCGATTACTCATGTGGCCCTTTGAGGAAATAATTGCCTACCCCTGATCTATGAGATTCTCTTTCCTTACAAACTCTTAAACAGTGTCGTTTGGTTACTACTCTATAGAGATTTTTTCCTCTGGATATGGACAGAAATATGCCTTACTCAATTGGTGGCTATTGTACCACTGGAGGTTTTTTTTACTGGTTTAATGGGAGTAGGTTGCTCTTCACCCTGCCCCTTATGTCCTCTCAACATCTCTTCCAAAGATTTTCAGGGGAAGAACTTATTAGAATAGTGTTGGAATCTGGAAAGAAAGAGAACTAGATCAAAATGCCTCTTTTGCCCATCAGTGGGAGAATTTTAGCAGAATTTTACTCAATGGTAGAATAAAACTCTGAATCCCAACCATTGAATATAATTGAACTCCTTAATTTAGGATATACAATACCATAGTTATTTTGGTATTATCCAGGATTTTTAATTTCATATTGGCAATATGAATGTGATAATACATTACCTTGGACTCCTTTTGACTCTAGCACACGATTGTCAAACTTGTGGCATCATATTGCTGTTATGTGATATATTGAGACGTTTTTTTCCCCTTTCCAGAGCTGGGGTGGGCATGGCCTGCATGTGACGCATCTGACCCACATCTAACTCCATAATCAGTAATAAAAATGTGGCCAGGAATGCTAATGGATGCCTGACGATCTGAGGAAGTGATACCACTTTTGTGGCAGTTATATTAGATGCCCATCAACTTGTAGAATACTATTTAGAATACCGCCTTTATGTCGTTAAAGACCACGGACAGTCCTTAACCCTGTTTGAATAATCTAGATCAGGTGATCTAAATTACCGTTATCAGTTCAATTATGTATTTCCCATTCTGCTATTACGTCATGCTATATTCATCGATTAAAATAGCTGGATTGTCAAATATAAGATTGGCCTTATTTATCAATGTTTCGTGTCATATAGTTTAATTATACACTTTTGAAGATTCACAAGCTATATATTTAATTTGAGCAGAAAGTTAATACCCTCATTCTACTTTCCGCAGCATCAAATTCTGTATACTTTCCTCATTACAATGAGCACTGTTTTAAATATGTTTGGGGCTGATAATTTCATTTGCAAGATCATATAGGAAGGCGAGAGTCTGGAAAGAGGCAGATAAATATCTTGATTTTAGCCCGTTGTGAAATTGTATGGTAGGAATTTCCAAAAGAACACTGAGTTAGCAGAGATAAATCAAAACGATTGTATCACCCCTTGTCTTCATTACCTCAAATCCCATATTCCTTTTCCTTTAAGGAAGGGAAATGTTGAGCCTGCATCAACAATTAAGCCTATATTTCTGCTCTAAAGGAGCAATATAGCAAACAGGGGATTTTATTACCTCAGGCTTCACAGCAAGGGACATTACTACTAAAAGCTGTTGCGTCCCCCCCCCTCTCATTCCACTTTTCAGGTTTCTATATGATCATGGCAAACAGAGAATGTCAGATCTGAGAATCTGGACCATGTTGTGAGCAGTGACAGTTGTGCCAGTCTGAACAAACCTGAGCAACATTGTCTGTCATGGGAATACCACAGCTGTTAATCGTGCTATTGTTAGAGAGTGTCACTACGGTGACTTTCTTTTATTTATTGAAGAAAGCCTCCAGCAGTCTGTCTGCCACCAGAATCCTTTAAAACTGATTAGAACGACCAAGCACTCTGTTCTCGTGTTTCTCTTAAACGTGGTTCCTATAAGGATTCACTTAGGGTCAGCTTTTTTTAACTTTTGCAGTTCTATATTATCCCATCTCTCTAAGTTATCTATATTTCTGCACAAGTAATTTAAAGAAGGTATTTTTTTTTGAAAACTTGTGGAGTTGTTATTATTTTCAATAATAAACAACCATTAGAAATCATAAGCACTTTGGTAAAATTATTATTTTTTATTTTAGAGGCACAGAATGATCTGTGATTACCCAATCTATGTTTTGAACTATGGTGTGAGACAGTTCTCTTAGTGATATGTGTTGTTGATGGACTTGTATTTCTAATTGCTTTCTCCTAAATTATTATAAATGTAGGGTTTGATAAATTAATACTTATCAGTTAACCAATTTTCAAAAAACTGGTAATCCAGGCAAAGTTGCATACAGCCTCCTTACCCCCTTATGGGAGTACTTTATACCAAGGCTGGTTAATTTATTAATGTCTGATGCACTCAAACCCTTCAAAGACTGTCTTTGATATAAATCAATGCAGCCATGTCAATAAAAAGAGAGTTTCTTTTGCGTGCATAAAAATTGTTTATGACATCATTTAGATGAGTGAAATTATTTAGTTTCATGGCTGGATTCTTTTTAATACTATATGTTGTTGGATTTAAGATGAACAGAAAAAGTCTTTGAGGCATTGGGAATTAATAGCTAGGGCAAGAATTTATGAAGTAGACACTCATGTGGCAGAGCAGTTATAATATATTTAACTATATATTCATCATTGTACTATTAAACCTGAAATATATAAGCAGGTACCTGTCATCTGTTTCTTGATTATAAATACAATTATATTTTTTCTTTCTTTTCTAATGGTGATAGAGATTTTATTCACGTACCTGAGAAATCACTTCATAGAGTCCTAATTATAAAATGCAGTCATGTATGACTTAATTATAAGCACAGAGAGCTATGCAATAATCACAGCCCAGTTGTAACATACATTTTAATGTTAAAACTTTTTGTATGGATTGGCTGCCCTGAATGTTAAAGTAATATATATTGATACCAAAAATGTTCAGGTGCAATTTTTGTTCTTGCCTAGTATTTTCCCTGCCCAATATTAGGACTTATTTTAGCTCCAAATATCACATTAATATTAATATTCTAATATTTTTGAAAAAAAATGCTCAAGTAAAAGAGTTCAAGATTACATTTTTATCATAATTTCATTTTTTTCATATTGGAATGACACAGTTCCAGTGCAAATATACTTAGTTCAATGATCTTTTGTAATTTATTATCTTTGCTTGTCTTTGTAACATTAACCCCATCTGTTAGCCAATTCAAAGGGATATACGTATATTATCCTGCAAAGAAAGGAACTTCTTCCTGTTCTAACTACCATAGAACTGAATTTAGTTTTCTTCTTCCATGGGGAAATCTTTTCCCTTCCTGCTGATGATTTCAATATTTTCTTGTTTTTCTCTGTGTATGCTTGATGCAAGCAGCAAACCATTCCAGAAGTTATGCATTTTATAAAAAATACACAAATTGCAACATTATTGAAGTAATGGGTTTTCAGACTACAGAAGGCTTTATAATAAAATAGGGAAATTTACTCCAGTTTAGATCTTTCCAGATGTTTTCTAATGGCTATAGATTGATGGCAGTTGCAGTCTTATTTGTGGGGAAACTGGGTTGGATCTGAATGGAAGCTTGAGTTTGGTGGATTGGTATTTTTCATGAACACTGCAGAGGCATAAAGGGTTAAATTTGGTCCACATAAGTTGCAATCCAGATTGCCTTGTTCCTTCCACAGTTGCTGCTTTAAGGTGAGTGGTAGACTAGGATAAACCTGGTTTCCTAATTTCATATTGAGGCTGAATGAGTTTTGAAGTGGACACTTTCTGGTTCTACCTTAAGCACATCTTAAATTATAAAATATGCCAAAGTAAAATGACTATTGTAAAGATAGTTAATTTTAATTATGTGCAAATTGCTAGTCTTTATGTTAGAAAAGCAGCAACAATATATTTAAAGACTTGATAAAATCCTGTGTATATTTTCTTTTGACACACATACGTATATATTCTTTGTATAAGAAGGGAACAGTTCATTATTCTGCTGTTTTCTGATTGAATTATTGCTGATAATATATATTTAATTTGTTTTAGAACTGTATTTTATTACAGCTCTTCTTAATGTTATATATCTCGTAGCGTTATACTTATTTTGCAATTATTTTGACTAGGCTTTAAGGACAAGGAAGTATAACAATAACTAAGTTTAATTAAATAAAAGAATACGGAAACAAGAGTAGAGGTCTTATTGTGAATGACTGAGACTATATTTCAGATTCTGTCATTAATATGAACCTATGTGTTTGAAAGAACGGTAATTTCCCAGTCTAATTAATAGGCTGTTTAATTTTTTTTTAAAGAGAGAGTTAAAAGTGCAAACGTTAATAAAAACATGTGCTAAATATATGTGTTACAGCGCATACAAGCTGCAATCTTAACAGCATTTAATAATCCAACAAGTAAAACAGCGGATGAAGAAACCAAACGAAGAGTCAAAGGTATGGTTTCCTTTGGCACAACTTCCCTGTATTATATGCACAAGAGTTTCCTTATTGCACAAATGAGCTTTCTTCATAATGTTGCCTAAAAGGCAATTCTAGCATTGTCATTTAGGGAGGAAGCAGAGCATTGTATAACACAGGTAATATATTTAAGCTGCATATTGAAGTACTTGATCAATAATTGAGAAGGAAAGAAGAGTATACAAACTGAAGACTGCAGCGCCTGTGCACACTTATCTAGGAAAATGTTTCACTGAATTCGAGGAGACTGATTTCTGAGAAGGTACTAGGATTGTACAGGGCGGGGCATAACCTTTTCCTAGGGGGTCACAGCAACACTTGTAATAACAACACAAATAATTCATACACCATTCGAAAGCCCATNAGGGGGGGGGGAGGGGCGGATGGGATGTGGGATCAGGGGGGGGGGAGGGAGGAAAGGTATACAATTGTAAAACTCATTAAAACTTTTAATAATAATAAAAATAAGAGTCAGCACTGATTCAAAAGCATAGCAGCAACAAAATAAGAAGAAAAACTTAGTTCTGTAATATAGGGACATGTATTTCATTGCTTGCTTGTCTCTTAGAAACATCATTTTGAGAAATTCCATCGGGTCATAAAATAATCTAATTTTTATTATCAACCCCCAGGCTATAGATAGTCGAGATTCAGCTGCTATGGCACTTTATTCCCAGTGCTTTGCCTGGGTTATTAAAAAAATCAACAGCAGAATCAAAGGCAAAGACGACTTCAAGTCCATTGGGATTTTAGACATTTTTGGATTTGAAAATTTTGAGGTATGTTCCGAACATTTATAGCTTGATAAAATGTTGGTGCTTTTATGCTTAAACATCGTTCTTTTTCTTCTTCTTCTTGCATTACTTGACGAAGTTACTAAGTGTTTCCTTATGATTTGTCTCTTTTCCAGGTTAATCGTTTCGAACAGTTCAACATTAACTATGCAAATGAAAAACTTCAGGAATATTTCAACAAGCACATTTTTTCATTAGAGCAATTAGAATATAGTAGGTAAGAATTGTTAAGCGTCATTCATTTCCTCCGCCATAGCTTGAATATTTGTGTTAATTCATTTGTTTTTTTCATTCTCATCTCAGTCCTTTTAGAGATTTGAATTCCCAATAAAATTCGTTGTTACCATTATTGTAAGGAAGCATGTTTTCATCCAACTTCCTTTTGGGCAATCAAAACAGTTTGTGCAATTTAATAAAATCTCTTTCTTGGGTTTTCTTAGAGAAGGACTCCAGTGGGAAGACATTGACTGGACAGATAATGGGGAATGCTTGGATCTTATTGAAAAGGTAAATATATAAGTAGTCTAAAATTTAAGGGATTTTTTTTTAGAAATATTGTTTTAGTAATAATTGTTTACCTCAAATTATAGCATATGTCATATGATCAGTCGCAATGTTTCAAAAGTGTATTATTTTTTCACAACTGAACCTCAGATTTAACCTGATCATATGTTTTTAATTCTTGTCTATCAATACATAAATTTCAGTTTGTTCCTGGGTCAGAGAAGTGTTTCCCATCCACCCCCCAGCTCTTTTTGATACAAAAATGCTCATTTACTCCCTTGTCTTTTATTTGTTTGTTTGTTTATTTAATAGATTTATAGGCCGCCCAATCCCGGAGGACTCCGGGCGGCTTACAAAGTGAAAAGAAAAATAATTAATAAAAAATAAGGGAAACAATTTAAAACATCACCCATACACCCAATCTGATTGGGGCTGGACCTCAACAGTGAGGTCAACAGCCCCAGGCCTGCCGGAAATAGCCAGGTTTTAACAGCTTT